CAATATTCGTATATTTCAAATTGATTTTATATGTGAAACTAATGGGTAAACGTGTAACATCAGTAAATGCACTACTTCGTGCACAACGTCAATTAAAAATGGTCCGACGTATTGTTATTCTTGTTAGTATTCTGTTTATACTTTGTTTTCCGTATGCCATGTTTATTTTTTTCTCATTCTTTATGACAATACCGAAGTATAATTTGAGAATATCGTATGTATTCATCGATGTTTCGTTCATTGCTGTGGTCATTATTCTCTTTCAATTTACCGAACCTTTGAAAACGTCTATGACGAGAAAAGTAAAGATACATAATATTGTACCAATACCGAGCATCCAAAGTTGATTTCAACACGATTGTGGTGACTTTTTTTATTCAAATATACAGACAGTAAAACCATATCTTCAATAAACAACGCGCATGCAAGTGTATTGTCTGTTGCGAAACACAGAAAGATAGACAATCAATACTCAACTTGACCAATCTGAGAGATTATTCAGACTGACCTTCTTAGGATAATTGAATCTGAATTATTCGCATTGATGTAATCCGTCGCGTACGTAGCCCTAAAACAACAATAGAATGTAATGATAGATCGATTCGTATGTAAAAAATAAAGGAAAAAACTGATTTTAATCGATTTAAATGACACAATTTTCATCAGATTTTTAATTGAAAAAAAATGTAGATAAAATTGATTCTTTTGGAGAGAACTATTTTTAACAGATCTCCTTTTCATCATCTGACTTCAATTAATTTTTTAATGAAAAAAAATCAATTTTAATCAATTTTTTCCTAAAGTGAGTGGGCATCAAACTATATTGTGACTGTCACTATCTCAAGGGTATCACAGGCAAATCTACTGTTGACTTTCTATTTGTCGAAGCGAGGATTCCGGGAAAAACGTTTAGAAGATCGTCTGAAAGTTGAATATTCGAAAAAACTCTTTTTTTTTCCTTTTTGATCAAAACCGATTACGATTTTTGAGGATTGTAATTATTTGTTGTGGCTTCAACAGATTATTTCTGAGATAATCTATTTCTTTCTCGTATTTAATCAGAATTTCGAGCGAGAATCTGATTTCATCGGATGTTTTGTCCCTTTTTCACACGAGTCGTGACTACAAAAGTCGTCTTAACTCTTGTTATATCAGCTCAAAGGAGTCAAACAGACGAAAATTAACGATCGTTTCGCAAAAAAAACGACTGCAAGAATTGAATAATGAGAGAGGAAGGATGTGTACTCATCAATCTTTGACATCCAAATAAGACATCTCCATAGAGTACACACGTTTTTGAACGATCCCATTCTTGTTCATTTCAGAAAGATTTAACAAACGAACAGACCATTTCCAAGTATTATTGATAGGTTGATTTAACTAACAAGCAGGACTACAGGCGCCGGAAGCGAGCAGATGTTTAATTCAAGTTCAAATAGGTTAAGAGAAGATTTCAGAAACAAATAAATCTTTGGATAAAAATAGTTTTAGTTATCGCGTTTTTCTAATTCACTCCCGAGGTTCTGATAATCAAATGAGTCTTCCTTCGTATTCGAAATTACATTAAACCACAGTTCATATCCATATGCAGATGACGACTTTATTCTCTGAAAGCGCAAAATTGAACAGAAAAATTTTACTGATAGTGGCGTTCTCTCTAACAAATACTTGTTAATAGAGTCCTCTATCGACTAACTTATACAATGGATATAATCGGAAATGACAGGTAAATGACTCATAAAAATGAGTTTGAGAAAGTTGTTTTTCTGAGAAAAAACGACTTTTCCTCTTGATGGCTTTGCCTGCTCATCACTCGTCTCAATATCTTTTCAATGCATGTGAACAAGGTGATATCGAACTGATACTGAATCATATAAAATCCCTTTCCTCATCAGAGATTTGTTCTATTCGTGATGAAAATCAAGCAACGCTTGTTCATTATGCCTGTCGATATGGTTATTTGAATCTTTTGAAGTATTTATTTGAATCAAAACAGATCAATCCTAGTCAATTACGAACGGAACATGGTGCAACATGTGCACATGATGCTGCTGTTTGTGATCAAATTGATATTCTGAAATATATCTTCTATCAATGCAAACAACTTCAATGGAATACTCGAGATGAACTCGGCAACACACCCTTACATTTAGCTGCTAGTTACAATTCTCACAACGTTCTTCATTATCTTCTGAATCAGCAACATGCTGATCCACATAATCCATCGTACAATGGTTTTCTCGCAATTCATTATGCATCCGAGCATGGACATAACGAATGCATTAAACTTTTACTTACGAAATCTCCTGATACAGTTAATCAACAAACGAATCAGTTGTCAACACCAATTCATCTCGCTTGTCAGAATGGTTTTCTCGCAACAGTTCAATTGTTGATTTCTTACGGTGCAAACTTTCAATTAAAAGATCAAAATGGTTCGAACTGCTTACATATGGGTAAATAAACATTTTTCATTTCGAAAGAGCAATTCTTCTTTGTTTAGCTTGTGGAAATGGACACATCGATATTGTTCAATGGTTAGTCGAAAAACAAAATGTCAACGTCAATGAATGTGATTATCAAAACTGCACACCGCTTCATTATGCAGCTATGAACGGAAATGAACACTTGATTAATTATCTTCTAGATAAACAAGCCAAAATTACGTCTGATAGCCATGGAAATACACCGCTGCATAAAGTCAGATAGCCACGATTTGTTGAACTTGAGAGATTTTCGTTTTCATAAATTAAGGCTGCGGAAAATGGTCATCAGAGTGCATGTGCGATCTTAGTTGAAGGTACTTGTTCTTCGGTGAACTCTGTGAATAATCGACAACTGACTGCGGCAGATTTAGCAGCGAATTCGGATCATTTATCATTGGCGAATGAACTTCATCTTCGAGGAAACAGTTCCTTGTTACAGAAAGCGACAGTTGTTCGATTGGTTATTAAGAAACGAAATGTTCAACGTGCGGATGTTTCATGTCAAGTCAATGAAGATGATTTTATTGATCAGTAAGGAAATTTCTTTTGTAAATGAATGTCTATGAAAAAACATTCTCGATTTTTAAAGATAAACTGACGGTTCGATTTGGTAGGTAACGATTTGATAACTAAGCTCTGCATGACTAATCATAATAACAAGGCTTGTTGTGATTCAAAGCACAGAATTGAACTGACAAATTTCGTTTTTCTTTTTTTTAGGAAAAATCATTATTTGCCATCGAGAAAAGGTGAAATCTCAACCACGATGGTCAATTCTGAGAACATTCTTCATACTCCTGTAAGATTCACTTGATTCGAAAATCGATGGCAATCTCTTCTTGTTTAGCGATCAAGTGTCGTTGCAATCGCAAAACTTCATTCGGATATGTAGCAAAATGATAAATAGAGAACTTTAAACTTCACGATGCTTGAAGATGAATAGAAAAAAAAACAACGTTCGTGATTTTTAAGCGTTTCTTCGTCGATTGTCCAACTAGATCTTGAGTAAAATATTTCTTCTACGTCGATTTTCTTCTTGAACTTCTTTCTCATTAAAACATATGAGAACATAAAGTCCATCGGATTCGGTTATATTTTCAAGGTTTTAAAAATAAACTTGACGCTTCTTATCGGAGAAAACATAGGAAATGATTTTCTAACTTTGTTCCTGAAAGATCATCAAAAATACGAACGATTTCTAATTGGATAATCACATCGATCTTCTCAGCTTTCTCACTGACTATTTCAATAGCTCAGAATAAACAATACAACTTGATGAAGAAAAAAAGATACATAGTAGAAGCAAAACTGACAGAAAAATGTTGAATACTGTTTTTACAGCTACAATAAATCACTTTTGTGATCCGAAAGCACATGGAAGAAAGTCAAACCATTAGATTTGATGCATAGAGAGATGTATTTGTATTGTTCCTTTTCTCAAAAATCGATTTCGGATATTCGAAATTATTTTTCAAAGCACGTTCCAGCGTTTCTAATGTCAATAAAGCGTCCATCGTATCCATAGAATGTGACATTGCAATAAGATACTTATATACAGAAACAAAAGGGTGTGTGATAAACGTAATCACCATGTGTGACGTCAGTAGAACGGGGAATATATACAATGGGTGTGGTTCATCGTTAGTCATATACTCAGAAACATGTTCGAATAGTAGATACACAATTTACTATATTTATTTGTATCACAAACACGTTGATTTACGTCTGATGGCTTTTGTCAACAGTTATTGCGAAGAACGAAAGCGTAAAACACGTGGACGGATAGACTAAAAGCATTTATTTAAGATATAGAACGAGAAAGAACATGACTGTGAATTTAGTGACTGGTAAATGTTTATGTGGACAAATAAGTGTTTCAGTTCCCGAAACGATCTTAATCGAAAGTAAAAACGTTGGTTTATGTTATTGCAAAAATTGTCGACAGACTGGAGGATGTTTAGCTTCGTACAATCTCTATTTACCTGAGAAAGATGCGATAATCCAAGGTGAACCAAAGATTTATTTAGATTCGAATACAACGAATGGTCAAATAATTCAACGCGCATTTTGTGAAAATTGTGGTTCACCAATTTATGGCAGAAATCCAACTTCTGGTCGCTTAATTGCGGTCAAATTGGGAATTTTCGATGAATTAACTAAGCCTAGTATAGCTTTGTTTTGCAAAGATCGACCAGAATGGAACAGACCTATTGATGGAATACAAGATTATGATATTATGCCATCCTAGTTGCAAACGCATTGGAAAATCAACTCTCTTTTTCTCGACTACATCAAATAAGCTTTTTTATTTGACCCTCATTAAAATAAAGATCAAAATCTGTCAATCTTTTCAATTCTTTTCTCTTGAGGATGGGTGTGGAATGAAAATTAACTGTAAAAATTCGTGTTGATAGTATTTCATGTTATGGCTTTACAAGGAGCAAACATGTATAACTCTCTCCTTCCTCCTTTTTCAACCGAACAATCGATCACCAAAAGCCATGATGATATCAAATGCGTTTTTATTATCGAGTTTATGCACATCCATCAATATTACACACAATAAGGCAAGTCGATTTAGTCCTGATTCCAGAAAATTTGAAAGTCAAATCAGATGACTTGCAAGTTGGCCAGATTGAATCCAAAAGACATAATGTAAATTATTTCTAATAAATTCTATAGACTATAATTCAGAAAGTCAACATCTTTCTATCAGATTATTCTACTTCTACTGCGAATACTTTCTAAAACAAATCTTGACAACGATGGCTTAATTGGAATAACCTACTTCCAGTTTTCCATTTTACGAATCTAATCAAGTCAATCGAACTGCTCCATTACTTTATCATTTGGTGCTGAAGAAAATCTTTATGTTCGTGATAGTGATAAATCATCGACTTCAACTTCGGAAACAAACAAGAGGAGAAAAGGTTTTTTGAATTTGATGGAGTATAAGTAAATAAAGGAAAATGATTTTTTAAATAAGTTTCAAGGTGAAAATAGTTAATTATAAAACTGTGCCACGATAGACGAACAAAAATCATTTTAATCCCAATGAAAAAACCCGCCTTTTATTTGCAAAAATAATGATGTGAAACATCACACTCTTAGTAAATACAGAGAGAGTGTAACTCGGTTAAAGACCAACATGAATTTATGGTTATTTGTCAGTGTTGTCTTTGAATCAATTTATAAAACATAAATCTTTGAAGCTTAATCGTTAATGATGACAAGTATAAGAGTATAAAGGTTTTTAATTCTCTCGTTTCATTTCATTTCTCGTCAGAATTTCGTTTTCTGTTTAAGATTTCTAGTTGTCATCTGTCTAATCATCTCACTGTTGAGTTCCTTTTCGAAATGGTCGAATGACACCACATCATTGCAAACCATTTGTAAACAATAAAGCGAACAGTTTTCAATCAACTTTGACATTTTCAATGAAGAAAAATCATCGAAATGTTTGTTTTGAAAATTTGCGCAACTCGTGTATACCGAAATCCCTATAAGCAATTGTAAAGTTAAAAAGAATTATCGATAGTTATAGAATTACAGCTTCTAGATCTCTTTTTCTCCGCATGATTCTTTTTCAAGTTGCAGCATTCGACGACATTCTTTCTTTCCTTATAATATAAAAGACACGAAATATTTGATGAAGGAATAATAAAAGAAAAGATAAGTTGTGTCTTGTGTTGACATTCGTGAAATTCAAAACAAATGAAAAGTATGGAAACAAAATCAAAACTTAACTGTAAGCTTTTTTTCAGCAACATATTTCTCCCAAACTGCTTGTTGATTTGAAATGAAATTTGATGGCAAACTTTATTTTCGAATCAAGTTATTCGCTTTTCAGATTGAAGTTCTTTCCAGATGGCGACTCCAACGAACAGGATCTTATCTATTAATTCTCGTCGTAAATTCGCCTTAATCATTGCAAATGCAAATTATTCCTTGTCGAACTCTTTGTCGAATACAGTTAATGATGCCAAAGCCATGTCAACGCTTTTGAAACGGATTGGATTTCAAATTTACGATGATGAAGCTAAATTAAATTTGACTTTCAATGAGATGCGTCGCGTTGTAACGGATTTTACGCGTCGAATAAAACGAAATGATATGGCTCTATTCTATTTTTCTGGTCATGGAAATCAATGGGAGGTAAAAAGAAAGAAAATTCTTCAGAACAACTTTTTAAAATTTCTCCTTCTATAGGATAAAATCTACCTTATTCCAATTGATGACTTTAAAGAACATGTTTCAGAACGCTCATCAACAATTAAATCGCCACTAAATGGTTCTGATCTATCAAAATACGCAATAAATGTACAAAATATTCTCAATGAAATCGATGATTGTCATCCGTTTGTAAACTTGATTTTCTTAGATTGTTGTCGAACTCACCCTTTGCCTCGAAGCAACGGATACAAAGGAGAAGCAAGCAATCATTTATATGAATTTAAACCAATACCTGCAACAGTTGGTTCATTAATTGCATTTGCTTGTGCACCTGGAACAACAGCCGATGAAGGAAAAAATGGAAATAAATATGGTTTATTTACAAAACATCTTCTGAACCATCTCGATACACCAAATGAAGATATTGAAAGACTTTTGCGTCGTGTTCGCAATGATGTGATGAATGAATCAAATGATCAACAAATTCCACATGTTACTTCAGTTCTAAGACATGATTTCGTTTGTTTATTTGAGCGAAAACAGGGTAAAAATCTTTTCTAATTTCTAATTCAATATAGACAAAAGATATTTTGGTCGCGCATATTTCACTGCGTTTCGTAGAAGTTTTACGAGAAGAAAAGAATTTTCTAAACACTTCTAATAAAAGGTTCCGCGAGTTAATTTTCTTTTCATCGAATATTCACTTGTCATGAAAAGTTTTCTTTTTTTCTCAAAGAAAGTAAATTGAACAAATGGAAACAACACGGTAAAACTGTAGCTGGTGGAAACGGACAAGGACGACAACTAAATCAACTCTGTTGTCCTCATGGAATTTTTATCGATTGCAATCAAAATCTTTTTATCGCTGATTGGTGGAATAATCGAATTGTTCAATGGAAATTAGAGGAAAGTCAAGGAAAGATTGTTGTGGATGGATATGAACAACGAGATGGATTGGGCCAATTGAATCAGCCAACAGATGTAATGATGGATGAACGAAATCATTCATTGATCATTGCTGATGGAGGAAACAGACGAGTGATTCGATGGTGGAACGATAATCAAGTTGAAATTCTCATTGACAATATCTCCTGTTATGGTTTAGCAATGGATAAAGATGGATATCTTTATATTTCTGATTGGGAGAAGAATGAAGTGAGAAAATGGAAAATCGGAGATAAAGAAGGTAAATTAGTGGCTGGTGGTCATGGTAAAGGAAATCGAACTGATCAGTTGGAGGGTCCTACGTATATATTTGTTGACGATGAACAGTCGATTTATGTATCGGACTATCACAATCATCGTGTGATAAAATGGAGAAGAGATGCGAAGGAAGGAGCTGTTGTTGCGGGTGGAAATGGAATGGGAACGAATCTAAATCAATTGAATTGTCCTACAGGAATAATTGTCGATAAGATGGGTCGCATCTATGTAGTGGATTGTGATAATTATCGAATAATCCGTTGGTGTGATGGAAAAAAAGAAGGTGAAGTGATTGTTGGTGGAAATGGTCGTGGAAAAGAATCAAATCAATTGAACTGTTCCACTAGTTTATCATATGACTTTGAAGGAAATCTTTATGTTGCCGATAGTGATAATCATCGAGTTCAAAGGTTTAATTTAATTTGCAACTAAAAAGAGATTCTTCTATTGATAGTGAGAAATGTTTGTTCGAAAGCCTGTACAGTAATCAGCAGTTCACTCAAACGATCTGATTCAACAAGGAAAGTGGATGTGCATTCATAACGACAGAGGATATTTATAAATTCACAAAAGAAAAACCCACCGACCTATACGTCGGTAGATATCTCCAAAAGAGGTTGGCCAACGCACATAGTACAGACCTAGCTGGTTCCCCTTTCTACGAAGACATCTTTACCTGGAAACTGTTCATGGAAAACTACACAGAAGATAAGAAAAATCAGAATAGCCTTGAAGTAGAACAACTACGCAGATTGTCAAAAGTTAAGAAATTAAAGGAAACAAGATGAATCACCTTAGAGTTAAACAAGAGAAATGGATAATTATGGAGAGAGAGAGAGAGAAGGGATAGAACTGAAAGAATTGAATAGATACGTGAGCACATCCCCAAAGAATGTTCTTATCTCTCGAACCATATTAATAAATAGGAGATGAAAAGAGAAGTCAGTCATTCTCGAAAAAATAGTGCACCATCGTCAGTATCGTACAAGAATATAACACCAACTGTATGATGTGACATAGCATACAAATCTGTATCATATTTGCACACGGTAAATTAATTAGAAGTGAGTAGTTGATTTCTCTATGGTCTCAAACGTGCAAGGTGCATGTCGATTCGAACCACACAGAAATAAGAAAAGTATTAGAAGAAGTTCAACACCAACACCAACAGTTGGAGCGACTAGGATATGGCTGTTCTATTAGCACTAACCGGATTATTCGCTATCGTTGGATATATTCACTGTTAGTGTCGCCTGAAACCGATCCTAAAAATAGTTATTTCAAC